ATTGATATATGGCCCAGCAATTTCACTTCTAGGTATATACCCAAAAGAATTCAAGGTAGATACTGAAACAAATACACACAATACATATATGTTCATAGCAGCAATATTTATGCTAGCCAAAGGAGAAACAACCCAAGTGTCCATAAACTGATGAATGGACAAACCAAGTGTGGTCTATACACACAACAGAAAACCATTCTACCATGAAAAGAAATCAAATACTGATCTCTTACACGTAAAGGAACCTTGGAAACATGCTAAGTGAAAGAAGCTGGACAGAAATGGTCATATGTTATATGATTCCACTTATATGAAACACACGGAGCAGGCAAATGAAAAAATGCTAAATGTTACACAGAGGGAGAGAGCAGACTGACAGTTGCTAGAAGCTAGGGTGAGTTGGAAAATGAAAAAAAAATTTTTTTTTGAGAGATTTTTGCTACAGGGTACATGAGCTTGCTGGAAAGAGAGAGCAAATGAGAAACCACACTCCCCCCCCAGGGGAATGGCCATGCCACAGACCCTTCTCTTCCATTCTCCTCTAGGAATTTTGAGTGCATATACACACACACCTGGCCTGAATTTTTTTTTTTTTTTTTTTGGCTACAGGGCGCGTGCGCTCACCACAAAGAGAGACAAGAGAGACAGAGTGAGAAATCACTCCCCAGGGGGGATGGCCATGCCACAATCCCTTCTCCTCCATTCTCCTCTTGGGATCTTGGGCACGCATGCACACGTGCCCGGCACGAGTTGAAGCTACTGGATCCGGGACTCGAACTGCAGTTGGCTACATGGGAGTCCAGCGACATAGCTATTACGCTAACCACTGGTCCCACCTGGCCTGAATTTTTAAAAAAGAATTAATTTTATTTATTCATACACTTATTCCAATTTAACTGGAGACAGAAACAGAGAGAGAGAAAAAGTGGGAAACCAAGCCACCAGGGCTGGGACTTGAACTGTGGTTGGCCATGTGAGAGTGTCCAGTGCCTTAACCACCATGCCATCTGCTGGTCCCTGCCTGGCTGGAGTTTCAAGTCACAGGGTCTGGGAATCAAACCATGACCAACCATGTGGGAGTCCAGCAACCTAACCATTACGCCATCTGCTGGTCCTGAGAATGAAAAATTATAGTTTAGGGGTCAGTGGGTGGCATGGTTAAGTGTGCTAGACTCCCATATGGCCAACCACAGTTCAAATTCTGGACCTGTGGCTTGGTTTCTTGCTTTCTCTCTCTCACTCTGTCCCTCTCTTGTCAAATTTAAATAAATAAAATTAAGTAAAATATTCTTAAAAAAGAAAAACTATAAAGTGTCCAGAGATTATTGGGGGGCTGATGACAATATTTTGGAACTAGGTAGAAAAGCTTTTTGTGCAACATTGTGAATATACTAAATACCTCTGAATTGATTACTTAAGAATAGTTAATTTTATGTAATAAGGAGACTGGCAGGTGGTGTAGTGGTTGGGATGTTGGACTCCCACATGGCTGAGCGCAGTACGAGTCTCAGATCTGGCAGCTTGCTTTCTCACTTTCCCTCTATGTAAGTTTCTCTATGATAAGCACACATGCCTTATGGAAAATTAAAAAAAAAAAAAAAAACTGCTTTAAAAAGTTTATGTAATATGAACTTTACTGCATTAAAAATTCTATTACTAGAGGGGACCAACATGGCGTAATGGTTATACTGCAGGACCCCCATGTAGTCCACTCAGTTAAAGTCCTGAACCCGGTGGCTTAAAACTCACGCTGGGCATGTGTGTATGAGTGCCCAAAGTCCTGACAAGAGAATGGAGAAGGGATTGTGGCATGGCCATCTCCCTGGAGGATAATTTCTTGCTTCCTGTCTCTCTCTGGTGAGTGCACGTGTCCTATAGCAAAAATCTCTCTTAAAAACAAAAACGATTAGAGAAGCCAGCAAAAAATGCTATTAGGCATGGTATTAAGGTGCAAGTCTCAGACTCAGCAGCTTGGTAATTCACACTGGGAGTGTGTGTGTGTGTGCCCAAAATTTCAAGAGAATGGAGAAGGGATTGCAGTGTAGTCGACCCCCTGGGAGTGGGGGGTCATTTCTTCTTCCTTCTCTCTGTATTTTTCTGTCTCTCTGGCAAATGCATGCACCCCATGGCAAAAATCTAAAACTAAAAATAAATAAATAAAAGTACTTTCAGAGGGGCTGGCAGGTGGCATGGTGATTGAGGGCACTAGACTCTCATGTGGCCAACCACAGTTCAAGTCCCAGACCTGGTGGCTTGATTTGTTGCTTTCCCTCTCTCTCCCCTGTCCCTCTCCGGTCAAATTTAAATAAATAAATAAATAAATAAACGAATGAAATGAAGTTCAATAAAATACATCTTAACAAAAAAAGTACTATTAGGAAAAATGGTGAATTGGGACCAGCAGTTGGCATAATGGCTACGTCGCTGGACTTCCACATAGTTGACCATGCTTTGAGTCCTGGACCCAGTGGCTTGAACTCACACCAGGCACATGTGTGTGTGTGTGCCCAAGATCCCAAGAGGAGAATGGAGAAGGGACTGCAGTGTGTGGCCATCACCTCTGGGGAGTGATTTCTCGCTTTCTGTCTCTCCGTCTCTGTCTTTCCGGTGAGCCAACGCGCCCTATAGCAAAAACCTTTCCAAAGGGAAAAAGGAACGTTGAATCAATCATTGTCTAGAACTACTTCAAAATGTTACAGCAGGAAGTGTACATGAGAGAAAAAATCTAAATGAAAAGGATTGCTAAACTGACCGTACTTAAACTTTGACATTGCAAAGTGGTGCTACTTCCCCAAGTTCTCCAAATGCAGGAAAGAGCTGACAACCACCAGCTGTATTTGAAGAGTAATTATCACTACCTGCCAACCTCTCCCAGGCCTATCTTGGTGAAGATTTCTGTCACAACATTTTAATTATGTTTAGACTGAATCACCGAGTAGAGTCCACTTGGCCTTCTCTTGACTGCTTTGCTTATGTGCTTGCTTTCAGATTCTTCAAGTCAGACAGTGGGAGAGGTTAAATGGCAGGCTGTCCAACAGCGGGCAATAAACCAGGAACCCAATTCCATTATCTGCTGAGGGCCTATGATGTGTCAAGCACTAGGATGTGACACAAACACTCAAGAAGCATTGTCACTTAATCTGCTTAACAACCCAATGGGATAGGACTGTATCTTTATTGGAGAGAAGAAAACTGAAGCTCAGTGAGTTAGGAGTCAGACTCCAATAGGTAGAGTAAGGACTCCAAAAGAATTCACTATTTTCCTTTTTTCCAATGACGTCTCTGTGTTTTTCCTCTGCAGTCTGGTTAATGTATAATATAACCCAAACCATCACATGGCTCTGCAGAATTTAAGAGGCCCAGCAGGTGGCGTGGCTGGTAAGGCACTGGACTTTCATATAGCTGACTGCAGTCAGCCTCAGCCCTGGAGGCTGGCTTTCTCAGTTTCTCTCTGGTGAGTGCACATGCCCATAAAATAAAGTAATAAAAAAAATTAAATATCTAAAAAAGGAAAGAATTCATGATACTTTGCTCCTGGACTAAATTAGAAACCAAGGACAGTCCAGGGACCAGCAGTTAGCGTAATGGCTATGTTGCTGGACTTCCACGTAGTCGACCGCAGTTTGAATCCCAGACCTGGTGGCTTAAACTCACGCCGCTCTTTGTCTCTCTCTGACTTTCTGGCGAGTGCGCGTGCCCTATAACAAAAATCTCTCCAAAAAAAGAAAAAAAAAAAGAAACCAAGGACAGTCCAGAATATAATAATGAAAGCCATACCATTAAAAACAAAAACAAAAACAAAAACAAAACACGGGTTGGCAGGTAGTGTGGTGGTTAAGGTGGCTTGACTCCCACATGGCCGACCACAGTTTGAGTCCCAGACCTGGCAGCTTGCTTTCTCACTTTTGCTATATACTCTGTCCTCTGGTCAAAAAAAAAAAAAAAGTTAAATAAAAACAAAAAAGAGCCACCCCTCCCCAAAGCCCTCTTCAAGGACTAAGATTAGCTCAAGACACCCCTGCATCATGGAACAAATTCCAGGACCTGTACTAATATCTTTTCCAAGAATAGTTTTTCTTCCTTGCCAGGTTCCTATATAACTAGGCTATTTCCACCGCCCTGCAGCAACCTGTTCCAGACCCCTTCCAGCACACTGGAAGCTTTTTAATAAACTTTACTATCCTATCTGCGTTCCTAATTCTTCATGAATCTCAGACACGAACCAGCACAGCATGGTTATCGGGTCTAATAACCTAACACTCCTGCTTCATCAGGGCTAGCCAATGGCATGGTGGTTAAGGCACTGGATTCCCTAAGGCGAATTACGTGGTTCGAGGCCCAGATGCAGTGGCTTGAAAAACACACCAGGTTGGGGCCAGTAGGTGACAAAATGGTTCAGATGCTGGACTCCAATAGTGGTTCAAGTCCGGGACCCAGTGGTTTGAAAATTATGCCAGGCACAAGTGTCTGCATGCTCAAAATCCCAGGAGAATGGACTGCGTCATGGCCATACCCCCTCGAGAGGGGATTTCTCTCTCTCTCTCCCCGTCTTTCTGGTGAGCACACCTGCCCTATAGCAAAAATCTCTTAAAAATTAAAGAAAAAAGAAAAACACACCAGGGACCTGTGTGTAAGTGCCCAAAATCCCAAAAGAGGAGAAAGGATTGTGAAATAGAAATTTCTCCTGGGAGGAGGTGCTTTCTCACTTCCTCCTCTCTCCAGTGAGGCCTGGAACCCTGTAATTAAATAAAATAAAAAACCAAGAACAGGTGCCGGCAGGTGGTGTGGCAGTTCGGGCCGCTGGACTCCCACATGGTCGACCATGGTTCGAGTCCCAGACCTGGCAGCTTGATTTCTCACTCCCCCAGCCCCCCCTCTGACCCAGTGGAAACTTAAAAAGGTTGGCTGTTTCAAGTAACGAGGGGCAGGGTTTGAAAGAGGCCACCTGGCTCTCAGACCCACGTACTCTTCACCCTCTCCCGTGTGGTCCCTTGTCTGACCTGAGACCCTCGGACTTCGGGTGTGCCCGTGCCCCTCTTCTGACCCTAACGAGGGGGTCGAGCATCGAATCTGCTGTCACGCTCACTGACCACCACACGACGTAGCACCCCTAGTTTCTAAGTATGTGTACCCGAATCTCCTTGTCTTGATACACGAAGCCTACGGGTGCCGGGCAGGCCCATGCTCAGCCGCCACGTGGGGCTGGCTCCCCTCAGACCGCATCGCCTCATGGTCGCGGTGTACTCTGGGAAAATCGCAGGAAGGCGCCTTCGAAGGACCCGACCACCTCCACGTTAGCTGTCTTAACTTTTGCCTGCTAAAAATACGCCACCATTGCGCTTGCTTTGATCATTTTTTACCCCATCAGCGATTAAGACTAGAGTTGGAAGCCGCTCAGAAAAAAGAAACCGCTCGACGTTCGAGTGTTTTCAGGCGCATTAGGCATTCACTCGGGCAGCCGTGTTTCCGCGGGGTCCTTCACGTCCAGCTCCGAAGTGACTGCCAATAAGCTCCAAGGAGTAGTACAGGGGGCAGGGCTATCTCTTAAAGGAGCCGCACCCCGTTCACAGACCAGAGGGTGACCCGAATGATGGCGGCCAGCGCGGCCCTAGCCCTGGCCTTATGGCTTGCATAGCCGCCCCGGGGGGGT